GTTCAAATTTAAAAAAACATGTACGAACACACACTGGAGAGAAACCATATGCTTGCGAAATGTGTGGATCAGCATTTATACACAGTTCCAGTTTAAAAATACATATGCGTGCACACACTGGAGAGAAACCCTACACTTGTGATGTTTGTGGCTCGTCATTTTCACGGGGTTCAAATTTAAAAGTCCATATGAGGACACACACTGGAGAGAAACCTTATTCTTGCAAAGTGTGTACATCAGCATTTTCAAGGAATTCTGATTTAAAAACCCACATACAAATACACACTGGAAAGAAACCCTATATTTGTGAAGTGTGTGGTTCAGCTTTTCCATCAAGTTCAAATTTAAGAAAACATGTGCGAACACACACTGGAGAAAAACCCTATACTTGTGAAGTATGCGGATCAACATTTGTACATAGTTCCAGTTTAAAAATACACATGCGATCACACACAGGAGAAAAACCTTACATTTGTGAAGTATGTGGATCAGGATTTTCAAACAGTTACAGTTTAAAAAAACATATGCGAACACACTCTGGAGAGAAGCCTTTTGCTTGTGAAGTGTGTGGATTTGCATTTTCAGAGAACTACAATTTACAAGTACATATGCGAAAACACAGTGGAGAGAAACCTCAAACAAATAAAGAGCGTGGAGATGCATTTTCAGTGAACTCACATTTAAAAAGACATACGCCAACATACACTGGAAAGAAACCCTACACTTGTGAAGTATGTAAAACAGCATTTTCACTAAGCTCAACTTTAAAAAAACATATGCAAGCACACACTGGAGAGAAACCCTATAGTTGTAAAGAGTGTGGATCTTCATTTGTACACAATTCCAGTTTAAAAAGACATATGCAAATACACACTGGAGAGAAACACTACACTTGTAAAGTATGTAATTCTCAATTTTCAAGCAGTTCAAATTTAAAAGAACATGTGCAAACACACTCTGGAGAGAAGTCTTTTGCTTGTGAAGTGTGTGGATCAGCATTTTCAGAGAGTTACAATTTACAGGTTCATATGCAAAAACACAGTGGAGAGAAACCTCAAATGTATAAAGAGTGTGGAGATGCACTTGCAGTAAGCTCACATTTAAAAAGACCTATGCAAACACACACAGGATAGAAACTCTACACTTGGGATGTGTGTAGCTCAACATGTTCATGACATTAGCTTTACAAATATTTGATGGATTGAAACAACACTAACCATCTGAAGTGTTCTAAATAACAAATACACACGCAGACATTTACTTGAGCAGGGGGGCAGTGCTTTGTGACTTTTGCTATCTTATCAACATTTACTGTTTTTCTACCTACATTTATATATGTTACAAATTAATCTAAGCACAACCGACTATTAAAAAGTGAAAACATTTTGTGGATTTTGACATCATTGTGAGTTTTTTGGGGTTTTTTTTTTTCATTCAAATTCATGAATTTGTTTTGCTCATGCTAAGTCTAAAAAAAAACACTATAAAATTCACTATTTTTTATTCATAATGTTGAATGCGTTAAAATCATTGAACTTTTTAGCAAGAAAAATCTCAAGTTGATATTAAAATTTGCCTCAAAACATTGTGATTAATTTAAGATGGAATGATCTGACATGTCTCTAATTTGTATTTAGAAAAATTGTATTTATTTTCAATTTTCCTAGTTGAATTGTTCGCCTATATTTCATATGACCCACTATTGTACATAATTAGATTACAATAAAACTTGTATTTTATATGAATACTACCTTATGAAAATTGAGTTGTAGTAGAGTGGGAGCCTCTGCCATAGATTGGGAAGGTATGAGAGCCTTGCACTTGCACTGCCATAATCTTGCACATTTTTTTTGGATCATCTTCATTTTCATTGACTTCAAATGTAAGCAAATCAAGTTTTCTATCAACTACACGTTTGCAAATACATACAAAGTCAGACTGGTAAAAAGTCGAACACTTTTGAAACATGGGTATAAATGTTTGCCAAGTTTCAGTTTGCAAATACACATGTGGACAGTGAGAAACATTATTCTGGCTTAATGCATGAATTGGCATTTACATGCGAGTCAAATTTAAAAATACCCATGCAAACACTTGAGGTAAGCATTTGTTTAAAGTGTATGGATCAGCATTTTCAGGGAGCTTAGATTCCCCAAGTATGGGTTAATTAGTAAGACATGTATCACTAAACCATTATTATCTAAAAAATATTTTCTGGCTTTAAATAAACTGTAATGGGTTGATAAGCTGTAGAAAATGAATGAATCAATTTGTAATAAAAAAATAACAATTTTTTTTTTTTTTTTTTTTCAATGGCTGTTCAGAGATGAAAATAAGTTTCTTTGAATGTCACAGAATAAAGTATTGCAGGACAACATCTGAAAGAAAATTCTCTATTAGAAAATGTCTAATTTATCTAAGAAATTTTTTATATTTTGAGATCGGCATGATTGTATTTTTGGAAGAAAATAAAGATTAGCAGAGGAAGAAAAGCAAACCTCTTTAAAAGCTGTTCATAAGAAAATAAGGAGATAACAAAAATATATATTATTGAAAATTCATAATACCAAAATATAACGATTAAAAACACCTAAATCAGTTCTTTCTGAAAGCAAAAATATATTCAAATGAGTTAGCTCAGACATTCATAAGTCTATTGTACTAACTATCAGGGTCGAGCATCAAGGTCAGGGGCTCATTAGAGAGGCATTTTGTGTCATAACATAGCTGGTCAGTGTCAGTGGTTGCTGGGTGTCCAACTCTTCTTGCCCTATGGTTAGGTGTCCAGAACAGTAGATCACTGACAAGTTCTTGTTTTGTTCGCCAGCAGTGTCCTGCAAAGTGCGTTCTGCATTTGCGTAAGAGTGTAGAAATATGAGGGGTGGGTCTATAGAGCTGTGATTTGGTTGGATGTTGTCTCCAAAAAAATTTAAGTATAGCTCTCAGCATCTGAGTGTAGGTTCCATCAAGCTTGGACTCAAGTGTTTTAGTTAATGTCCAGGCAATGGCAATCATGAGTATCACAAATAAAAGAAACCCATTCTTCGTTGCCTGTTGTGTGGGCAAAAATAATAGAGCAAAAATAAGGACAAAACCGTCTGCACAGCACTGAAAAAATACACAATCCAGACTAATGTTATATGCAAACAAAATATATGACATTAAAAGCCTTTTTAAAAGCTGTTCATAAGAAAATAAGGGGATAACAAAAAAATATATATTACTGAAAATTCATAATACTGAAATATAACAAAAACGTCTAAATCAATTTATCAGTTCTCTCTGAGAGCAAAAATATATTCAATTGATTTAGCTCGAGCATTTAAAGGTTAATTATTTTTAAGCCCATCCAACCACTCATTCTCTTTACATGGAGATGGTTGGTAGGACTTCATATATACTGATTCAAAAATTTTCAAGTTATAATTGGTATTAGCCTGACTCAGCACAGAGAACATGTCCAGTCTATAAGACTGGGCACACTGCTGGTTTTTAATTAAATGCTCAGGTATTGCTGAAACTGCGGCATTAATGCACCTATGTAAATTTTCCACCTTTACCCTTACAAATATTGGCTGGTAAATGTTGGATGATCTGTGTCTCCAAACTTTGACCCATTCTGCCTACAACATTGGTAAATTACAAAATTAATATGACAGGTAGGTAGAACATACTTCCGGATCAGTCACGCATCAGTCATCCGGTTCACACTCCTCCCCAGTCTTTTGAACAGGAGTAGAGGTTTATTCCTTGTTTCCTGTTTAGGATTGCATTTCTGGCTTCTTCTAAAGTCTTTTTTTACTTCAAGTGGCCCCTTGCATCTTGGTGGCATTATCACCTTGCTTGGGGCTAGTTACACTTTAACCCCCTACCACGAGTGGCTCTTGGGCCTTGTACAGGATGAACATTATTGTAAAAAAAAAATTACCCCCTGAAAATAAAGATTAAATGCATAGTTTCATTTCACTATTATCTGTTTTTAACTGGTGTATTTCAGGCACTCCACTGCCTTAACCGGGTATTGAACTCACAGTGGCAGTGGAGAACTTTCAAAGGGAAATTAACAGGAGATAACTGACATCCATCAAACATGGCACGTGGAACTAGAACAGTCTACCCCAGTGAGTGAAATAAAGGGTTCAGTTTGACATTCCAACCACCTGAAGAAGGGCGGGCGCATAACGTCAAACGTTGTAATGAATATGGCGACAAAGATGAGGACAATAGTCCGAATAATGTACATAATATCTTATCTCAGTAATATAGACACACTCTAAAGTCGCCTCTTGAATGGAACTTCTCACCAATGAAATACAAAGAGAATAAGTGTAATTAGTGTAAATATGTGTGACATGGCGATTCTTAGCTTTGAAGGTTAGAACTGAGGAAGGTAGTTCAAATGAAAACTTCCCATGGAAATAGCAATAGAGAAGCAGTGAGAGGTTTGCAATATTTCATCTGTGGGTAAAGGGGTTGTAGGGTGGGAAAATAATGCATCACTCATAAGGACATAAAGGCACTTGAAATGTGAAGACTAGGCAGCTCCTGCCCATATATACCAGCAGTACTCCATTTTCAGCCTGATCTAGATCTTGTAAAGGTAGAGGCTAGCAAGAAGAATCAGGTAGTCACTGGAGCAGTACAGGAAACTGACCCTTTCTCCAGAATCTTCAGCAATGGTTCATATGTACAAGTTCCACTTGAGGTCTTGAACTTAAGCTAGAATAGGCACTCAAGCTTTGGTTGTTTTTGTTTAGTAGCATATCAACTTCTGACAGCTATTCAATGCCCAAATGTAAAGATTTTGTACGCAATTTTTTTTTTTTTTTTTTGCATATTAATGATTTTTAGTCATACAAATTTTACTAATTAACCCATAGCTGGGGGAGAAGAGGTAGATTCATACCTTTCCCAAAGGTATTTGTGCATAAGTGAATTTAATGAACCCAAGTGGAATTGGAACTCGGCCCTCTGATTTAACAATTCCAAGCCATTATACATTGCAGCACCTGATATTCCCAAGCAGTCATCCATTTAGATATTGAACAGGCTCAACATTGCTTAACTTCTGGTGATCATACGAGAACAGGTGTTTCAATTTGATGTAGCCATAAGCTGGCACTCAAAGCATGGGACCTCTCTAACAGAACACCCGTTCATTGCAATAGGCAAAGTTCGGAGTCCATTCAGCTTATGATGGAATGTTACTAGTTTGGCTTTCAAGACATTTAATGTGTTGTCACCTAGAAAAGGTTACTGAATGAGGAATAACCAAATGGAGGTTGGAAATGAAATGGCAATCTTTATAACATCAATAAAATACAATACTCGCCAGTGACATGAAGTAGGTAAACCACTGCTAGTGGTGAACTACTTAGCTCCACTTACAATATTGTCCAACATATTTATGAGGATTGGGACATACCCATTAGTGTTCATTGGTATGATAAATAACACAATGTGGACAGCTATTTTTTTTCTTTTGGCATATTCTGATGATATTAGAACATTATAATATTATGAACATTTTTAAAAATAATTTGACTATAATAACTTGCTAAAATATGAGAAATAACTCAAGCTCTGTACAGTTTGGAAATAAGGTAAGCAAAAATCTAAAATGCAAGAAACGTCAGCAAATTTTATAAATTTTTTTCATTTTAAAATTTTTTACATTTTAAGATTATTTCTCCATTAAAAAAAAAAACTGGCATAAATCTGAGTAAAATAAATTAGCACAAATTCCATGGGTAGCAAAAGAAACAGACACAAATCCAAAGTTAGCAAAATGAAATGGTTGCATGTCTCAGTGACAACCCACCTCCCAACACTAAAAAAAATGTCTGTCATATACCAGTAATGCTTTAGTAAGCATGGTAGTACATAGCCAAAAGTCTGGAGCACCCAATGAGTAGACAAGCTTGTTAAACGTTACACTGCATGGAAGTGACCTAGAATTTACATCAAGAATATTAAACACTATTTATTTATAAGATTGTTTATTTATAAGAAAAATTTTATATTTACAACATTCTTAAAACTAAAAAAACCTGTATTAAACTAATACAATGTAATATTTATCATTTTCTAATTTATAAAGAAATAAATATGAACATTTTTTATTCATAAATTTATAAACATTTACTAATTAAAATATGTGAACCAACTAGAAGGAAATCGTTATTATTTACCATTTAATAAAGTTTGAATCGATTGGCAATTAGCCGCTGTTTTTTCCATCCATTTCAATAAACAATGTAATAGTGTTTATTATTTTTGTTGTCAGTTCTCAAGAACAAAGAAAATGTATAAATTCACTTTTACAATATATTTGGGTTTTATTAAAATTTTAATCATTGCAGGCCGCATCACATTGAAATACCAGTTCCTATAGAATTATCAAAGTTAAGTAACATTGAGCCTGGTCAGTACTTAGATGAGAGACTGCTTGGGAATACTATCTAGCTATTTCAAATGATTAGACCTATTTGTTAGTCTATTAGAACACTTAAATTCATGCAGTCAAGGCACTAAGAAAAGCTCATCAGAACAATTGCTGTGAAAATATGTATAGAAAAGACAGAGGGAAGCCACATCCTGCCGATGAGAAAGTGACTGAAGTTGAGATGCCAGGATATGATCGACATTACAGACCCTTCTTTGAATTTTATCAAGAATCTCAAAATATATAGTGAGCCCAAGAAGGAACAAAGAGTTGCTGTCCTGGAGGTTAGCATTGGCCATTTTGATGGCAGGCAAAAAATGTTCTCTCTGGTGATTAATTGAAAGCAGTTTTGTTTTAAAGCTTAAAACTTGCAAGCCATTCCTTGTTCCAGTTAACCACTGATTAGATGTTGTTTTCGAGGGTAGTTGCCTGTTTTACTTTATTGAACCTGTCAGACTTGCAACTAAGACAGGAGTAAATAGTTGTGTCATCAGCATAAATTCTTAGTTGGAAACTGATGACATCAGGAAGGTTTTTGATGAAGATAAGAGACAACATAAGTCCAAAGATGGAGCCCTGGGAGGTCCTTGCATTAATGTGAAAAAAAAAATTAAAAATCTTAGTTCCACCAGTTCAGACTTTTACAGTTAAGATCCACCATGCCACATTTACGTGGACAAATCATCCTCATTCCCTTCATATTCCATTGGTAAGGAGGAAGTTCCATTCAGACATCTACCCAAGAACTACTACTTTGTGGAACAGACAACAGAGAGGATGCTTCCTTGATCCCTATAGCCTTAACCTGTTCAAATCTAAGGTTAACTGTTATCTACTTACAACAGCTTCCATTCAACATTCAATAAGCCTTGTTTTTGTATTAGGCAAACAACATTTTAAAAAAATATACCATACATTGTGTTTTTTGTCTACAATTGTGGAGACATCACTTTACAGTTGAGGAGTAAATAGGTTTGCCTATCATCCTGTTTACACTTCTCCCTGGTCTTTTGAACTGGAGTAGAGACTTATCACTGGTTTTGTGTTTAGGATCAGGTTTCTGGTTCCTTCTAGAGTCTGCTTCAGCTCTGTACTTCTAACATCTGCATGTGAATATATTTTTTTTCTCTCCTCTAATAATAGGAGTAGATAGGTGTTCCTATCATCTGCTCCATATGCCTCCCCAGTTTTTTGAACTGGAGTAGAGGTTTATCTATTTTTACCTGTTTAGGATTGGGTTTCTGGTTCTGTTCCTTCTAACTAAAGTCTGCTTTAGTTTTATACTCCTAATGCTGTTCTTTCCTACACTAATATAAGTCCACACATTAATCCTCTACTTTGAGTAGCTCTTATCCTTGTATTGGGTCACTATTTCTCAACTGCCATGCCATATGATTGGATTTGAAATCTTTTCATAGATGTTCTTTCTAATATTGGACTTCAGTTATCTGAAGAAGAATTGGTCAGCATTTCTAGTGAGTGAGGGTTCAAAATAAAATAAAATAATCGACAGTACCCATTGATCCATTTTGAATTTCATTACAAAAGGAATATCCCACATGAGCTAAAAAGGCTTTGTCATTTTTTGTAATTTTTGGCTTTTTATTGGTGTGAATTAGGCTTCTCAATCCAGAATAATATTAAAAATAAGAAGCAAGAAAAACTACACTCAACTGGAAAAATGAGAGTCTGCTTATTGCACATTTGCCAAACATTGGAGAAATCACAAAAAAAAAAAGCACCAGACACATTTTCCACACTAAATAAGCTGCACAAATAGTTGAATAGAAATATTGAAATAAAGTAAGTTCATCTTTGTGTGTGTATTTTTTTTTTAATCTATTTGTTTCATAACATTTAAATGTATACCCTTTAAAAATTTTGCTAAGTGCCAATTTTGCTAATTTTCATTTGCAACTAGGTGTGCTGTTTCTGAAAAAAAGTTGAGAAACACTGTATTAGGTGAAGGTTAGTGGGGGGTGGGTTAGAAAAATAGGAAAGAATATTCTTGTAGTAATAGAGAATCCAAAAAATGTCATTTTTGATCAGCTGTTATTAAATCTCAGACAGAGGCAATAGAAAAGGTAATTTAAAGAAAAGAAAACTCATCTGTCAGAATTGTTATCTGAAACCTAGCCACTCAGTAAAATGGGATATAATCTGCTATGGACGATCTCAAGTTCAATATGCTTGTAGTATATAGGGCACCAGCCTCAGTAGATGCAGATAACATTTTATTGCCTTAGCAAAACTAATTGCAAAGGTAATTAAAAGAGGTAAATGAAAGGAAAAATTAAATTAATTAAAAGAGGTAAACTAATTACAAAGGTAATTAAAAGAGGTAAATGAAAGGAAAAACCAACTTGCTGTGGAAGCCACATTTCACAGCAAGTTAGTTTGTCCTTCTCCTAGACTGTTTGCCAGAGCTGAAGAGGCCAGTTTGCCCTACTATTTAACCCATAGCTGGGAGGAGAAGAGGTGGATTTATACCATTCCCAAGTGTACTTGTGCTAAAAGGAATGTAATGATCATATTCACAATGTTCTATTCACTTACCTGCAAATACCCTTGCGAAAGCTATGAATCTACCTCTTCTTCCCCAGCTATGGGTTAATTAGTAGGATGTGTGTCACTAAATCATTATGATATCCTACCACCAAAGTTATTACAACCTAAAAGTATTTTTTGACTTCAAATAATCTGAAAAGAGGCGGTAAGCCATAGAGAACAAATTAATCAATTAATGAGTTATTTGTATGTAAAGTATGTGTAAATCGATTGCTTTGCTTTTTACAGCTTATCATCAAGCTTTTGCAGGTTATTTAAAGCCAGGAAATATTTTTAGATTGTCAGAATATTTTGGAGATAACAATGATTTACTGATACAAGTCCTTACTACTTAACTCATAGATAAGAGGAGAATAGATGGAATTATAGCTTTCCCATGGACACTTGTATCAAAGTGAATGTAATAATCTTGACTGGAATTCAAACTTTGCTCACCAGTTTCTCAATCTGAGCTGCAAACCATTACACCATCTGCATGTATGCTGTAGGCTGTAGGTCAGCGATTACTAGACACTGATGTCTCTCCCTATATCTAGGACTACAAACCAAATATTAGATCACATTCCGATTTTCTATGTATGATCAAGTAGGTGTGTGAATTTGGGGTTGTTTCATTGGTTCTTCCTTTACCATTTACTCTGGGTGGCAGACATGATATCAAAGGGGCCAGTTTATTTTAGAGATATTTCATGGGTGATGCAGATATTTATGTGAGAGAGGAGAGAAACTGGAATGAAATTGGAAGCCATATTGTACAGATAACATTATTTTATTGCCTTAGCAAAACTAATTACACAGGCTATAAAAAGAGGTAAATCAAAATGTGTATATAAAGATGTCAAAACACCAGTTCCCATACGATCACCAAAGTTAAGCAACATTGAGCCTGGTCAGTACCTAGATGAGTGACTACTTGGGAATACAAGGTGCTTGGATGTGCAGTTGGTGTAATGGATAATGGCTTGGAATTATTAATCAGAGAGGTGAGTTCCAATTCCTGTTGGGTTTGTTTTATTCACTTGCGCGCAAATACCCTTGGGAAAGGTATGAATCCACCTCTTCTTCTCCTCCCAGCTATGGGTTAATTAGTAAGGTGT